GCTGTTCACAGAACAGTGATTTATCTCAGAGTAGCCGTGCCACTGCCTGGCCTGTCAGCAGACAGATGGATACGTGGGTGACTTAATCACTGAATGAGCTAAGGGCTGCCCATTCATTGGCTTGTCATTTCACGTTGACCTGATTATGTAAGGAGAGCGTGTCACTGATTCAACCAAACTGCATGCTCTTATCCAGAATCTAAAGGAAATGTAAAGCAGGATACAGTGCAAAATATATGCCTCTGTTTTACGGTGTAAAGTCCCAGATTTATATTTTGTGTAAGGAGGTGACAGGAAAGGAGAAGAAAGAAGGAAAAAGAAAGAAGGAGAAACCACATGAGCCCAAGGAGAGAGCCCTACCTCAGGCAGCCAGGAAGGAAATTGTAGGACATCTGAGGTGGAAACCCACTCAGGGTCATGGGCCAACTGATCAAGAGTGAAAGATGTGCTTGATGGAGACACACGCGATAGAAGGGAGAAGAGCTCCGGGGTTTTGGTGGGAAAATGGCCATTTTAGATGCTGAACCTCTTAAAGGTCAGGAGCACCTTTCTGTAACATCGCAGTTCTGTTAAACTTGTTTAACTATCATTGTGCAAACACCTCTGTAGCACCCACCTTCTGGTGAACAAAGTGAGCACCCCTACCTCTTTATTTCAGCCACTTCTTTCACCAACGTTTCAGATTTTAAGATGTTCAAGTCTGGCACAGGTTGCCCATGGCCTACTGAATATAGACGAAACCCAAGAGACACTCTAGGCTGTTCAACAGCAGGATACACCAGCCAGTTTCAGGGCTGTCACTCTCTCCTCCCCCGCTTTACCAGGCACCAGGCATGCCCAGAGCGGTCATCTTCTCTACTTCTCCACCGTCATTGCTCACACTGTTCATAAATCCCATTCTCCCCTCTGCCTGCCCAGTCCTGCTCTGGTCCTCCATGACTCTCTGTGAACGTGTGTGAATCTCCAAAGTGGAATTAGTTGTTTGGTCTTCTGTGTTACCCATTACTCAGCGATGTTCCCATCACATGGTTTCTATATTTCTATTTGATGGCGTCACTCTTTTGTCCTGTGAGCTCCTTAGAGGCAAAGAGTGTCTCATTCGTCTTTGATTTGCAATGGCTGGCACATTTGCATGACTGAATGAATGAATGAATGAGTTCTTCTGTGAGTTCGGAATGATGAACCCTATAATACAAGTGTCCCAAGTGCACTGGCCTCCGAAGCATTCCATCTTCACAAACTGCCATGAGGAACGCATCCCAGCTATCAGGACCTGCCAATACCCGGCTGTGACACAATGAGGGTCTAATTCATGAGACAGTAAAATACCCCTGGGCGTACAATGGTGGACACCCAAAGATGTGATCCGCACTCAGCGTACATGTGGGTGTCTACTAAAATGCATTGAACAGTAAATAACAGTAACGGTCGAATAAATCTGTGATAAGTTTTAGAGGAAATGGCCATCTGCAGATTACTTCAAATGTAAGCCCACAGGATGATGTCCAAGAACCAGCACCACATTTAATTGTCTTCATTATGCAAGATGGAGGCTCAGAAAGGGCTCTTAAACACTTTTACATATTTTGAGTTAAATAAAAATGCTAAGTAGTGCCTTACCAGGAACTCAAGGGATAATGTAAGTGGTTCTAAATAAAATAAAAATGAAGTAAATAATATCCATTTTCTCACTCTTACTCCACACCCTTTGAAAAAGCGAAAGGTCTGCATAAGAAAATTTTACAATTTACTTTACCACATGTTTTTTACTGGAATTATTCAAAATCAGAAAGAATATTTAAAGCTACAGATTATTGATAACAACATATTTGAATAAGTACCTGAAAATCGTAAAGCTAAAGAATTCTTTGGTTTTTCAGAAAATTCGGATTTTAGCCCATCCCCTAAGTGTAAAAATACTGACAGAACATGTGCCTGTCACCTCCTCTTCTGGTCAGTCTCAGAATCAACTGATTCCATTTGATGCAAATTAAGGACCATTTGATGCCTGTTGTTTAGTGTACTCACAAAACAAAACCTTTAGTATTTGCAATATTTAATTATTATCAATACCTCAAAACATTTCTCCAGAGAGAAATTAAGGCAGAGATTTTTTTTTCTGTTGATGTAAATGTTTTGTTTTGAATGAGAAATTGTTTTAGAGCCACGGGCTGTCCCCAAAATACGAAATTTTCAATTGCTTAAATATTGCAGTGCTGAAAACAATTGTCAAACTGATGACTCAGGATATAAATCCTGAGAATAAGCTTCCCACTTTCTTGAGTCTCAGTGTCATACCCTCTGGCCAAGATTTTATTTACAATAAGCAATGTTACAGAAGAGACACACGACTTCCATAAAATGTAAACATTGAATATTTAGAGATGTAATTAAATTTCAGCAATCTGAAGAATGCTTTTAACTAGAACACTATATCACCACAATCTCCAATTATTCCAACTAATTGAGGCATCATTACACTCTATTCTATGCTTCAGAGATGAGCTCTTATGGTGGGAAAATGGCTGAGTCCACCATTTTAAAAGCAGTGACCTTCCCAGTAATGACTTAATAAACTGCAGGCTCTACATGACTCCTCCATTTAAATTTCTCTACCTCTAAGAAGAGGCATGCACGTTGGAAAAGGAATACCTTCCGGCACTGGCACTTCCTGGATCCCCGGGAATGGCATCTTCCTGAGCATTTGCTCTCTGCCAAGCGCTGTCCCTATCTCTTGCCTGCATCGTGTCATTAGATCTGTGCTCGGGGTGTCCCCAGTTCTGTCCACAGGGGGACCCTGAAGCTGGAGGGACTCATGTAAGATCTGAGGGCTCATGACTGTCAGAGTGAGGACCCCCACCCAGGGGTTCTGACTCTGCCTGCGGGCTTCTAAGCAACCAAGAAGCTAACAATGTGGAATGCCAAGACTGTAGTTCAAGTACAGTAAGCATCAAAAAATACTAGTTTATTTTCCTGTTCCTTCCAACTTCATGTTATAAAGTGTCCCCAGTGTGATTCAAGTTAGGGGAAACTTGCAAAATTTACATTTTTACCTACTACCACTTTTTTTTCCAAATTATAAATTTAACCTCAGAGTAACTTGAGTAAATCAACACCCTTTATTCCTACATCAGTTGAAATTTGAAAAAGCTGCCTTGAAATTAATTTTGCTTAATTGTTTAACTCTCACTTTAATCTTTAGGCTATGAAAAATTACAAAAGTTTACATTTCTTTTGTG